ACGTTTTCTTCATAAAAAAGCATTATTTTTATTTTATTTTATTTATCAATTTTTTTCAAAGAAAAGATCTGCATAAATTAGCCAATCATTTTTGTTTTGTTTTTTTTCTAGATTGTCTATCCTTACAGTATTTGGAAATTCCATATTTGGTAATAATCCTGACTGTATTGTAAAAACAAGTTAATTATTTAAAAGATCACTATCATCATTCTAACATTAAATAATATATGTTCTCATGTCTTATCATTAAGTGTTGTAACTTTGTATTAGTAATACCTTAACAAGTTCCACAATATGAATTTTCAAGTTTGAATCGGTAATAATATCTAATGGAGGAGATGATCTAAAGGATTTTATTTCATCTATTGATGTGCTTGGTAACGATGGGATAAATCTACTACTTGAGGTTGATGTGATATCAATTATATCATACCATGCTAAACTGTAAATTTTTATTAGTGCCTATAACTTTTCCATTTCATAACATTTAAAAAAACCCTTACTTGGTAGATAATGTATGATTTTTGCTTAGCCATTCAGATAAAGTACTGCACACATCAATTTTGGAAACCTTCAGAATCCATTTACCATTATTATTTTGTATTGTTGGTATTGCTTCTTCTTCCAATTTATTTATATCATCAATGGATGATGATGGAAGACTATAAAAGGATTCCGATGAAGATGATGTGTCTTGTGTAAGCAAATGCAAAGCCAAAATTTTGCTAAATATATATACATATGTTCATTGATTATTTTTTTAACTGAACTTACTATTCACAATTTTCATCATTTAATTCTAATAGAGGTGTTAATGGAGAATGACTAAAAAAATAAATGAATACAAGTCAATAAATATAAACCAAAATTGCTCTCAACTTCAATAAAACTAGAATGATGACAAGTTGCAATGATTGCAATCACCGTCACCATTCTTTTTAAATAACTAGAGTGATGACAAGTGGTGATAACTGCCACCACCATTCTTACAATAAACAACACTTACCCAGCAATATCAGCTTTGTTGTTTTTGTTACTTCTTGTATCTTTGGGCATTTTTACAAAAAAAATGAAAAAAAAAGTTTATTATTTGATCGACGTGTACACATTAATTATTTATCCTATTGGTTTTTTTTTGGTAGGACAGGTGCAAATTGTTTTTTTTTTTTTTTTTTTGGAAAAACAATTTATTTTTTGACAGAAGTGTTAATAACTAACCAGAGGTAACTTTTTTTTTAATTTGCATTGATATTTTTATTTTAGCTTATAAATATTTTAATTGGAATCAAAACGTGGAGCAGATCTTGCTGGGTAATTACAAGATTTTCATTGATAATATTTTGCTTTGTGTAATCGTAATAATAATATTAATATTACTATAATTTAACTACAAGACATCAAGGCAGCATTGACTGTTCCAGAAGAAACAATTCAAATATGCAATGTTTGATTATCGGAAATTTACAGACGTTGAAGCATGCACACTACCTTGAACATTACAATCATTCTAACATGACATGTTCCTCGTGTACACAAGGCTAATCTGACCAAGATGCCCCCGATGATACAATGATGCAACAGAATTCCAGGGAGGGGTAATGTGGCCCTGGCATGCATCAAGACTGCATCAATCATCAAGGACGCTTTTGATAATCTTTCCCAGACCAGAGAAGGCTGACAAGTCAACTGTGACAATCCCACCTCTAAGGATGGATCTGTGACCAAGAAGTCACAACTCTAGAGGAGTATTAAGAGAATCTGCAGCTCATTCAAGCACAGGAGGTTGCAATTTAGAGCAGGGTTGGCAGCCCTGAAATTGCATTTGGGCTCTGATGTTAGTAAAATAAAATGGTTCGGATTTTGTTTGGTATGTTTTGTACAGATTAATCATTTTTCAAAATTTATTTTTCTTGGTAAATTTTTAATTTGGTTAACCAGATTTATTGTTTTTTAAACAGGGTAAGTTATTGGACTTTCACCCAAATCATTCCTTGCCCTAGGTAGGTGTGCCCTGACAAAACAGAAACCCAGGTTGCAACCTTCCACCTAAGTTGTAGACAACAACTTTAGTAGAACAGCAAACATCATAAAGATGCCAACTCTTGTCAACAATCAATGCCGTATGGTAGCAGCCAAATCTGGTCTGAGGGGAAGATAAGAAAATTTTTGTTCATCTTGTAAAAAAGCTTTTCAACATGTTCAGGACGCTTTCACTTGTGGAATAAAGTTTCATGATGCTGAAAAGTGCTTAATTGCACTGTACTGCATGTTTATGATAGGAAATTTTTACTAAATCTGATACCTGTGATCAATATCATCAGATTTATTATTCATAAAGAACCATAATTGATAATCAGGAAAAATAATTTATTTTGTGAACCCCAGAGATCTGGGTAGACATGCATTATTAAAAATTTCAATATGCATGGCCTTGGTATTGTTACTACCTGGGTGATTCAAATTTTTGTTATATCAAATATGACATCAAATGTATTGAATAATAATCATGACCATTGTGAATATTTGATGGATGGAGGCATTCACATACAAGGAAATGATT